GTAGGCTCTCCAAGTAGATAAAAAGATGATAATTATTGTGCTTATCTTTTGCAAATTCTTGAGAGCTAGTCATAAATCAGAGTAAATATGGTATGAGTTGAAGTTACTCACTCACTTAAAGTAAGGATAAAATAGGCTCTAAAGTCAGTTCTACGTCCTATGGGAAATCTAGCATGCCAAGATGTCTTTAGGTTCCGAAAAACTATTTTTCTTATTATCGGTCTGGCTGTGATTTCTGGCTTCTGCATCTTGCATCTGTTTCTCTGTTGCTGCCTTGTCATTGACTTAAATGTTGAAAATGGCATCTACTGTTTGAGATTTTTCCCCATAGATTCATCTCCCAGGAGGCAGTCATACACAGGAGGCTTTTACTGGAGATTTAAGGGAGAGAGCTAGGAGGAGCTTACAGAAGATAATTTGAATATCAAATTCAAGAGATCTTTAAAATTACTTTGTTAATTTCTGCCAATTTCATCTCCAAATTCTCATTTATCCATACCCCTACTCCTCTTTCTCTCTCCTATTAGTTTCCATAGATCAAATTATTGCTCTTTGGGACATCAACTTTTCATTTCCACCATCTCCTTCCTTGTAATCTCCTTATCAAAATATTGAGGAGATGTTGGCAGGCACATGTGAGGGCAAAGTCTTAATCAGGGGTCTTGCACACCAAGGGAGCTCTCTTACAGGCTAAACAATCATATACAAAATGTTGCAAGTATGTGTATTTGCACATATACAGATTCAATATTTTGTAGGAGGAGAGAATTTATAGCTTTTACAAGAATTTAAAAGGCCTCTCTGGTTCAAAGAATTCAGATGCTATAGCTGTACAGCCTTATTTTGACTATGTTTTTTAACTGTAATGAAACACTACAAAGCCCTATTCAAGAAAAGAAATGGAAACACACAAATCTATATTATACATGAGAGGTAAGCCTCATTTAATAAATTAAAAACTGCTATCCAATTGTTTATGTTCATGATAAAGATAAAATGAAGTATGTATTTGACAGACCACAAATGAGTCTTGCTTCTTTACATAATGCACTTTAGGATTTATTTAAATAATGATCTTCTTTGTGCAAGCAAACATTTTTTGTGTGTGCATTAGTAAGTAACTGAATAGCTTGAAAAGAAGACAGAGTGGTAGATCAGGACATATATTTAAAGTAATATACAAGGTATAATATAACTGGAATTCATAACAGAAAGCAATGTGGTATATGGCCCAGGACTGAGCATTTGAAGTCATGAGTTTTGGTAACCTTGGGCAAGTTGCTTAAATTTTCTGAATGAGAGACCTCCCATTGCCTATTAACAACATGCAAGAAAAATGATGATGATGATGAAGCATCTCTAAAGAGAATGAAATTCAACTGAACACAGTTTTTCAGTACAAGAGACTTTTTTTTTTTTTTGAGTTGGAGTCTCGCTCTGTCTCCCAGGCTAGAGTACAGAGGCACAATCTCTGCTCACTGCAACCTCTGCCTCCCCGGTTCAAGCAATTCTCCTGCCTCAGCCTCCTCCCAAGTAGCTGGGACTATAGGTGCAAGCCACGACGCCCGGCTAATCTTTTGTATTTTTAGTAGCAATGGTGTTTCACTATGTTAGCCAGGATGATCTCTATCTCCTGACCTTGTGTTCCATCTGCCTTGGCCTCCCAAAGTGCTGGGATTACAGACATGAGCCACTGCACCCAGCCAACAGGAGACTTTTAAGCAATGCCTGGAGAAGGAGCTCACCTATCAAAGAGAGTGGGGTATGTGGCATAGAGCTGGGCACATGGGGGTTCTTCATGAACACCTACTGCTGCTTCATCAACGATGTGTGGGCTTGCACATTTATTTTAGGCAGTTCCTTCCCTACGATGATCATGAGCCACTCCTGAGCTTGACTGCAACCTCTGGTAACCTCTTAGCCAGCATATTGAAAGCACACAATAGCAGTTAAGAACAATGAAAGACTTCTGGTATTTTTGGAGAGCATACCATACCACTTCAAGAAGATATAATAATAATTGGTTGTCATTTCATCAGTTGAGAAATAATTCTTTGTTCCCTGCTTTCAACAATGCCGACTGGTAATATTATGACACATAATATGAACAACAATTTCTACTTTCTTTCATGGAACTGTTTTAGAAAATTATTGTTAGCTGTGTCTTAAACAGGAAAAAAAATAACTTGTCTCTTTGGGTCTTAAGTATGCTAATTATTTGGGGGACCAATCTCCTTGAATTGCATCATGGTGCTATTCCTGAAGGCCAGCAGGAGTTACACCCAAAAGAATGGCTATGTGAAGGGTAAATGTTCTCTCAGACTTAAGCAGCGAGGCTCAATGTAATTTAGGAATCCAATATGGACTTGAGTGTGATAGGGAGAGGCATAGGACCCCACTGAGTTGGCTTCTTCACTAATTATACCTAGTGAGACATCTGTAGGATCATAGTGTACGGACTGGAGTTGCATATGGTAGACACAAATAAGATTCCAAAGAAGATGAAAGACTTAACCCATCAGTCTCAACCACCTGTGACATTATGAGAGAAAATACTGTAAAAGTGCTATGATGAATGATGTGATGTAGAATGATTCATTGATCTGTTAACATGTGCTTTAAAAATCCCCACTCCTAACATTTTGCAAGGTTAGATATACAAGTATAAAAAGAAGTCAGCATACCAGACTTACCCCATAGGAAAGGGCACTGGTGGAGAAGGGACAAAGAAGTGTCTTTCAAGGGCAAAGTCCAGGAAAGAAGCCCTTTTTGCTATGGTATAAGGCAGTTACTGTTTTCAGATAAGAACAGACTAGAAAATGAGCCAAAAGAAGCAAGGCAAACACAAGGGAATGAAGTACTGATACATTTTAACAGGGAATGAACCTTGAAACATTATTCTATTTGAGAGAAGCTGGACACAAAAGGACACATATTCAAGAACATGAAAATCTATATATAATGAGAGAGGGTAAATTGTGGTTGCTTAGGGCTGAGGGTGTTGGCTAGAGGGCTGGGAAGTAATAGCTAAAAGGTACAGGATTTCTTTGTGAGATAATGAAAATATCTAAAATGGGCTGTGGAAATGGTTGCACATAGCTGAAAATGTACTAAATATTATTGAACTGTATACTGTAAATGAGTGAATTGTATTTTATGTGAATAAAGCTGTTAAAAGACAGAACCGAGGCAAATGCAGTTTAGTACAATTAAATAAGCGGACCACTTCTGGTCTTCAAAGTTAAATTACTACCCAGGTAAAACTTTGAATCAGACAGAGAGTAGTTCATTTGCAGGCTTTGCTCTGTCTAGGTTTCATGATGTGGGGCAATGTTTAAAATTATTCTGTACTTCATTTCCCTCATCCACAAGGTGACAATGATGTTACTTCTGACATAGTGTTGTGATGGGATTAAATGATGTGGTGCCATGTAGCAGCATTCTATAAAGAGTAGCTAATAATTAATATCATTATTATTAATCATCATTAAAATAATTGTGTGTCTCATCCACTACTAGACACAGGTGGATTCACTGAAGAGTAATATGAAGTTGTCTGAGGAATTCATGAGACCTAAGACTGCCTATGCTAACGGCAACAATAATTCATGGAAGTCAGCTGAGAGAATCCAATTTATACAAGCTGTCAAGCATCAGTCACTGACAAAACCCAGAGAGCAAGACAGGCATCAAATATGACTACAGGAGCTGTAGACAGTGAGAAGAGGAAGTAGAGACGATGTGAAGAGCTAGAACCCCAAACGATAATCATGACCACAGAAATGGAAAGTGGGATGAATGAATAAGACACTTTGGGAGTGTGGGAGCACAGAGGAAAAACTCAGACTGGTCCAGAGACATTGAAGGGTGCTTAGAGCTGAGGTTTTTGAGCCACTCTATACAGGATGTGTTGCTCAGATGGACAAGGTGCATGGAGATGGAAAGCAAGATTGTTTGGAGAACTGCATGTGTTTCTGTGGTTTATCGAGGGTTGGTTTTTATATTGTGGGTGGGAGAGTACTGCAGATGAGGATGGAGGGGCAGGCTGTGCCACATCATGCATGTCCTATCTGCAATGACAAATGGGGATTTTATTCTGTGGGTGATTAAAAGAGTTTTAGGCCATGGACAAGTATGATCATATTTGTGCTCTGGAAAAATCTCCCTTCTAATACTTATGGAGAACAGAAAAACAGCAAGGACACTGGAAGCAAAGAAAGCCAGAGGAGGCGGCTGATACAAGTCATGAATAGACAGACAGAGGAAGAATTTAAAAAATATAAAGTAGATACAAATATACCATGAGTTCCTGATTGAATTCAGGAACTAATGGTATAGACATAATAAAGAAATGACAGGTTTTTAACTTCAGTGATGGGACTGGGTCACAGAATTCTGTAATAAGAATGTGAAAATCAGCGGTATGAAGGTATGAGGATAAACACAACCCTTAGGTTTCCTAGCACATAGTCATTTCCAGTGTTCCACTGTAGGAAGCAAGCAGGAATCCAGAAGAGAGGTGCTCGGGGATAAACTGACTTTGATGTGAGGTTGCCCTGTTTTTTCTCTTTGTGCAAGCTTTAATCGTGGTGAGACAATGAGCAGATCCTTATATTTACTCATGGGCAGGAGCTTAGTCTAGGTATTTCTATATAAAATGAATGATCTTTGAAGGTAATAATAGGTAGGCTCAAATAAAAACATTGTCCTAGCTTAGGTCAACAGAAGCCAGTAAATTCATATGATACCCTTTTTATTTTAAAAAAGTCATCATTTGTTTTATATTTTAACATTGTTAATATAGTAAAGAGAAAAAGAAAGTCCATCTGCATCTTTGCTAAAATGCAAATGCTTCGATCTGGGAATTTGGGTTTCCTCGAATTGCATGGTAGTGTAGCCTAAAACAAAGGCTTAGGGGTAAGAAACAATCTGAGTTTTGAAACTTCACTCTATCAACTTATTCTTTGGTTGTCTTATTTTCTTTCTTTCCATCTGTACAGTCACTGAAGACAACAGCGGTGCTGATATGAGGACTAAATGACACAGTGGCTGCAAAGCACCCAGCGAGAGTGATCAGAAGGCAGATACTCAAGACTTCTTATTCAGGACTCTGCACTTCCGAGTTAGCACCAGAATGATTTCTCATTTTTGTGAACATCAAAAGGCCTGTTTTTTACCCTCCCCATCGACACCTTTTCTTTCTGCCTCCTGTCCCTAAGGATAGCAATAAAACATATCTGGAAGCCCAATTAGGCAAGTACAACTCCTGTCTGTCTTATCTTAATCCTGCCAGTAATAGAACAGTAATTGTTCAGAGAAACTACAAGGGAAATGGTGGGTAAGGAGAGCAGACGCTGCTCCAATTGATCTCAATTACTGTCATGAAATTGAGTCTTCTGTCTGACGTCTAAATTTAATGCTTCTTTTCCCTGAGGATCTGTCGCTGGTTGTTGCCTCCTATTGTATCTGCGGTTGGCCTGTCACCGTCTGCATTGCCCTCTTCATCAGAATGAAGGAGTTGTTTTCATTCACCTAGAATTTCCTCTATGCTTTTCTGCTGCCTAGATCCCTCCTCTAGTCCTCTGACATTCATATTTGAATCTTTTCATTTTCTCTGGCTCAACACCCAGAGAAGAACTATGTTGTGGTTTGGCATACAAAGAATTAATTTCCATTTATGAACAAGAACACAATTTTTCAAAACCTAAACAAGATGAGTGTAGGCTTTGCCCAAAGGATGAAAACATTCTGAAGTGAATTATATCCCTCTTTATTTGGGTGCAATTAGGAAAGTTAATTATGGGTAATTTTCAGCATGCATATGCTTTCATTTTGCTGATTTATAAGGAGGCATAAACATAATTAGGTGTGCATATGCATCCTCACAGTTTAATGGGCCCTGTATTCCCTGTAATAGCGAGGCTCAGCATGTTGTTGATGTGTCATTTTTCAGACCAAGGTATAGGAAGCTTTCTTGGATCGACTGTCCCTAGGAAATTACAGGGAAATGCAAAGTATATAGTTATATGATTTCAGAAGTAATGGTATCTTAGGACACATTCACCATCTGCTTTTCATCTTAAAAGACGTTCAATGGATTTAGATGGATTTAGACAATGTGTGTCCTTAAAGTAGCAGTTCCTTTTAAGTTGTAAAGTTATCTGTGTTTAGAAATTAACAAATTTATAGTGTTTTAGAAGTCCATAAAAAAGCATCCAGTTAAGATGAGGTTTTATAGATGAGGTTGTTCAGACTCATTTAATTGAAGTAATCTTCTCAAGGTTATGCAGTTTTTGAGAAGCCTATAAATGAGTTGGTGAAAAATGAAAGAAGTAGAATTTTTTTACTGTTGGTGTAGCATCTGCATTTCCCTGGATTCCCAGCTTTAGTGCCAGCAGGACCAGCTACATAATTTGCAGGGCTTAGTGCAAAATGAAAATTCAGGTCCCTTGTCCAAAAACGAAGACTTAAAGATGATAACCACAGAACATTAAACCAAGCACAGATTCCTTCTAAGCTCAGGGCCCTGTTTGACTGCACTGGTTGCACATTCATCAAGATGACTCCGAGTACCACAATAGTATGAGATAACACAAAATTGGCTTCTAAAAGGTAGTGAGCAGAATGACGCCAAGATCAAGGTTATGGAGAAATAACTGCAAACAGTATTTCCATGGGCACTGGTCAGAGAACAAGAAGAAAGGTTAATATCCCAACTGAGAAAGTTTATGTAATTGTTTTCAAATAACTGCTTAAATGCTAGAAACAGAGCTTGTTTGATTAATCAATAGACAATCAGTTATGCTTGAAAGACAGAGAAATTTCTTCAACGTCCCACTTACTTTCCTTCCAAAAGAAGGAAAACAAGCAAAAGGGTAAGATAATGAAGGCATACAGTATCTTTAGAAAGACCCAGTTATAATAAAGACAATACATTTTGTGGAAATATCCATCATAATATTCTCAGCACTACATTGGGTGAAGAATGTAGACTATCATATGCTTTCTCCTGAGGAGTTTTCTGTCCAGTAGAAAAGATAATCTTATAAAATTACTTTCATGAAAATTAGAAAGTTCTGAGTAGTTTCAATAGTAATTTCAGAGCTCAGATAAATGAAAACAGACTAAATGGGTGCTAATTTACATTTATTGTTCCTGTACTGTATGCCAAACTGTATTAGTGAGTCCTCTCAAAGCAGTACTGTGAAATAAGTATTAGTATCCTCAATTGTGAGATGTGTAATCAGAGACTAAGAAAATTTAGGTTACTCATCCATGACCACAGATATAAGGAGAGCTTTGGAATGACACTGCAAGTACATCTGATCTGTAAGCCAGTGATTCTCAAATGAGGTTCTTGGACCAACTGCATCAGCATCAGCTGAGAACCACTAGAAATGCAAATACTTCGGTCCCACCCCATACCTACTGAATCTGAATCTCTGGTGTTGGGGGCGGGTGTGGTCAGCAGTCTGTTTAGCAAGCCCTCTGAAGGAGACCGATGTGCCCTGGAGTTTGAGATCCACTGAATTACCTAATGCTTTTTCTTCTGTGTCTTGTGCTGCTTTCTAACACTTATTGAGTACCTATTATGAGTCCAACATTCTGCTAGGTGTTTGATGTATTTTAACGATTTAATCCTTGTAATTATCCAGATAAGCAGGTATTGTGCTTCATTTTTAGATTTAATGAAACTGAGGATTACGGAAACTAAATAACTAGAATAACTACATATTTGTTTTTATCTGTCTTACTTACTAGTAAATGAGTTTCTTAACAAGAGAATTTTTAAAAGCGTGATTCATCTCTGCATACTTCATGCCTGCATGGGGCTCAAAAAGCAGTATGTCCTCATTAAGTGCCTAGTAAGTGAAGAATGAATGAGTGAATGTCTGAGGGCAAACACACAGAAAAACACTTTAAATCTGTATCTATTTGGTTTCGAAGCCAATCTGTTCCCATCAGAACTTGAGAAATGCTTTATGAAAATGGTGTCATTTCAGGGAACAACCTGTTCCCTTTGTCTCATCTACAGATTAATTTTTCCATAGATTTTGGGAAAATCAGAATCCAAGCCTCATCTGTGCCCATGCAGGCATCCAGATACATCTGGACATGGCTATGGTATTGATGGGTTTAGATTAATTTGCTTATTCAAATTTGGTTTGGGGCATTTGTGAACTCCGACACTATGCTACATGCTAAAGTATTAACAAAACATGAATTGTATGAGTGATTTTGCATAGCATGGCAGGGGACTAGGGTTGTAGGAATGCTCTGTAGTGCTTGAAGGGAAGGATGGGATGGACAAGATAGCATTGCCTCTAACTTTCAGCTGATCCCTGGATTCATGCCCTAGTTCTCAAGAGAGCGGTTCTACATGGAGAATTTGAAGGGGGGAGTTGTTTCCCTTGAAACTTTGAGGTTCTGAATTCAAGTAATGCTTCTTCAGTGCCCCTAGTGACAAATTTCAATATAGAGTGTAAGAATGGGCATTGTTCCCTCTCTGGCATGAAATACGAGTTGCCACCATTTAGTGATAATTTGACAATTTTATATTTGATAATACAGCTTTGGGTGTACTAGTAATTATCTCCTTAGCATGGCCTTGTCCCAGTCTCAACATTATCACTAGCCATAGAAAGGGCCCGTGAACCTCCATGAGTCCTCACCGATACCACTGTTATGAATGATCTTTGCACAGATAACCACCTGGCTTGCTCCTTCATCTCAAACACGTCTCTGTGTAAATGGGTCTTTCCTGACTCCCCTGTTTAAAAAGCTTCTCCTCGCCTCCATCACTCTGCATTTTCTTACTCTGCTCTGTTTTCATGACTGCTTTTATCACCACCTAGCATATTGTATATCTATTTGCCTATTTATTTCCTGTCTCCTGCCATGTGAGCCCAATGAGAGCAAGGACATTTCTGATTTTTTTTACATTGTTTTATTCAGTCACTTGAACAGAGAATATTATGTAGGAGATGTCTAACAAATATTTGTTGAATAAATTAATGACCCTAGTGCCATGAAGAATACGTATTAGCAGCAGTGTCAGAATCAAAGCGCTATCATCAATTGACTAAGAGTGTAAAAACATGGCATAAAGGTTAATGAATTGTAAATAACTCTTCTGTTGGCCTTTAGAGGTAATTGGGGCAGACTTTTAAAAAAATGCTGGAGGTTATTCATTGCGTAGTTAAGGAGTAGTCTTCGAGGAGTTCCATTGTTACTATTAATTCGACTTCATTTGTATTTATATCTTGGTGAAGCCAGAAGAAACTGCAATGTGATCTTAAGTATCTTAATGCATACTATAATTAGTATGTATCAGGAACTAATGATATCTCTTGAGTTGGAGTCAACTGATGTATTTTTGGGAACATGCTTGTTCCATGTGACCTAGGGCTCAGTCTGAGTTCTCCAGGTATAATTAACTTTACAAAGACTTTGAATATCCAGATTGCTTTGATTTTCAACTCACCCTTTCTATTTTAGGTGAATAAAATTCAAATGCATGGAATTTGTTTAAAAACCCTGGAGATGCTTTCATGATCTGCAGATCTGTTCTTCTTGTTGCCTAGCACCCTTCCTGGGAATCCGGCACTTCATTAGGTGTCTTTCTTTCCATCTAATGGACACTGTTCTCCCTAACTCAGGTGACCTTTGTAACCCTGATCTTGTATTTGGCATAATGTCCCATTGCACAGCTAAGGCAAATCATAGTTGAAGATCATTACAGGTTTAATAATAACAGAAGAAAAATTCAATAGGGAAAGTTATTTACAATTACTGCAAGATGCAGTTATTCTTAGGAACTATAGACAAAGTCTTTCCCATATCATAAAATTAGCTATCTGCCTGGAATAGCTCTGAAAATATTTAATATTTATATGCAAGGTTACTCTCAATCACTATTTTATGTCCAGTATTGATACTATTCTCAGGATGATTTACAAAGGAAACATCAAATTTCTCCTAGGCAAATCCTGTCCTTACAATGACCTTGCACAATATCCACTAATAGGACAACTCATTATACTACCATAGTCCAAATCAGCACAGTTCTCAGGATACACAGTAATTATTGTGAATAAGTTACGACAAAGCTGAATTTAGCCATCGCTGGTCCACTTACTTTTGAGAATTTATTCTCCTCCTACACCTGACCATAGAGACAACTGCATTTTCCTCCAGACTTTTATCCTATGTGTAGATCCTGAAAAATTAGTTCTTATTGCATTTAATAATATTTTCTCATTTGCTTCGGTGGTTTTTATTTTTAATGTCTCATTAAATAAGTGAAAATGACAGAAAATGTAGAAGATACAAATAAACAAACTAAAACATTTGTATTACTTGGTAATACAAACAGTATTACCAAATAATTACTACTCTCGAAAAAACATTTGTTCTTTCTATTTGTATATATTTATAGCCATATTTTAAAGGGCTTATATTGGAATGTCATTTTCCACTTCATAATGTAGCATTACTTAGACAACTACTACATAATGTTTATGACTTCACAGGACTCCAGATATATCATTTAATCAGTCATTCTTAGTAAGATATTTAGATTTATTCTAATCATCCACTATTCTCTGAGAGCTTCATGAACATTCTTGCAGCTATATGCTTAAGATAAATTGCTTAAGAATTACTGGGCTAAATTACATGAAAAAAATTTAAATTATGCTTAAATACCATCAAATTGACTTCCAGGAAGATTATGCCAATCCATGCCAACCAGGAATGCGTGTGAATGACTACTGTCCTATACTTACACCAACACTTGTATTCCTTCCCCCCCTCTTTCTCCTCCTCCTCCTTCTTCTGCAATATTTAGAAATTTAAACAGTTAATCATTTTAAAAAATTTTTTAGTTCGTATTTCTTTCCTAACAAAGCTTAATATTTTAAAAATATATGTTAGTTATTTGTTCTTTTTCTTTTGTTATTTGTTTGGCTAGATCCTTTATCTTGTTTTTAGTTAAGGTATTTCTCTTCGTTTTCTTTTTTCTTACTGAGCTCTCCTTTCTGAGAGCTGTCGTGAACATTCCTGTAGCTATCTGCTGCAAGATACAGCCTAAAATGGAAAAGGTTTTTTAGTTGTAGAAGACAAAATGCTGAATAGTCAAATATCAATTCTGAGGAATGAGCTTTCTGTCCTTTAATAGTCTGAAGTGTTTTTATGCCTTCATATTTGCTAAAACCCTTTGCCCGCCTGGAGGGCTCCCTCCTGAGGTTCCATGGCTAATTTCATCCTAACCCTCTAACACCTGGATCAAGGTGTATCAAGAATGACTGACTCAGTCCTGAAACGACTGCTCTTTGCACTACACAACAGACTCATGGAGAAGTAGCTCACTACTTTTCCTTGAGCAGGCTTAATAAAAAATTGCTTAGTCTATTTCTCTTTTGAATTTTTTTTCAACTACATTGCAACTCTTCCGAGACTAGGGGCCACATCCTTGTTCTCAGAATACTTCAGGGCAATATGACCTTCTAGTCCAATAAGAGTGTTTTGTGACGTGAAATAATGAATAGTTATTGAGCCCCTTCTCTGCGGCACACACTGATTTTCACTTTAAAGAATTATATAAATTATAAAATATGTTTTATAATTATTTTCCTCATTTTTCTGAAACGGAAATCATAGTTCAGAGAGATCAAACAGCTTGTTCAAGTTCACAGCTAGTCAGTGGTGAGGAGAGGTGTCACGCCGTCTCGACTTCAGCACTTTTGCTTTTATGTCTCTTTTTTCCCAGCCTTTTTAGCATGGAGCCTCCCTCAACTAGGAAGCTGAGTACACACTTGACAATTTGATTTGTTATTTATCCAGGAAGAGAAAAATCTTGTAAGAAGAAGTGTTTTGTCCATTTCTGACTCATTTCAATTCCAAGATAACATTCTAGCTTTTATTTCAATGGATAATGCGGGTGAGTATATGCGTAACTTCAAAGCTGCAATTTGTATCCGCCTGACCTTCTCCTCAGAGGCCACTAGAAGATTGCTGGTCATGTCGGCTCACTTTTGAGACTAGAAATTCGATTTCCATTCTCTATAAAAATATTGAAACATGCACAGGCACCACACCAAAAGAGGTTGTTATATTCCATTTTCTAAAATTGCAGCAAAGAGAGTGAGTTTTCTCCCTTCGAATACTGTGTTGTCTATTTTTTAAATTTTTTTTTTAGTATCATTTCAGCTTAGAGAAACTGGTTATCTTTCACAATAGATTTTCTCTGCTGCTAGAACGCTCTGCTCACCAGGCGTTGATGAGTTGGTTGTTATCATTATTATAGAAATAAAAAAGGAACCATGCAATGAAATAACAAATAATAGTCCGAGTGATTTGGAAGCTGAATTTTGAATGCTGCATCAACATCAGGGCATGAGTTCTGGGAGGTGTGATCATATTCGTTATTTTACTCTGGATCACAGGATTTATCTTGTTTCCTTATAACATTTAAATATTTCACTCAGTATTTATTCAATATAATACAAATGCACAGACATAATAGAACTTGGCTGATAGAAAATGAATATTTTATTTGTATATACACATCTTATATAAAAATTATTCTGTGCATTTATATTTGCTTTGTATTTAATATTGTTCTATCTCTGTGAGGCAGCAGGGAAGAGAAAAAAAGAAGTCCTTCTACACATTCTCCTGTATTCCCAGATT